ATATATAAACAAAAGCATCAGGTGTACATGCAGACACCCCGTGAGGCTGAAAGCGCAGAACCCAAACCAGCAGCTGCGGTACTAAACCCCAGCGCCGTGATTATATATATTTATATAAATATAAATATAAATAAATAAATATATATATATATATTTACATTTATATTTATATTTATATTTATTATATTTATTTTTGCGTTTGTTTTAGCTTTTGTTTGTTTTTGTTGTTATATATATATATATATATTGTATATAAGTAATGTATTTATGTATTTTTATACACAATACATTTCTCTTTTTTTTTTTATTTTTCTATCTACCCCGAGGCCCTCGGTCTATCCCCTCCTCTCTCTCCCCCTCTATCTCCCCCTCTATCTCCTCCCTCTCCTGCTGCTGCTCCTGCTGCTGCTGCTGCTGCTGCTGCTGCTGCTGCTGGTGTTTCTTTTGTATTTACCCCGTTTCTTGTTTCATCTAGGAGTCTGAGCTGCTCTACACGCCTAGCCAGCCCGATGAGGGCTACGGCGTGTCTGCCTGCAGCAGCTAGCTGTGCTGTTGTTTTATATCTTCTTCTGGTGAGGTTAGCGTTTCCATCTCTCATCAGCTGCATGGCTCTCCTATGCTGCTGCTGCTGCTGCTGCTGCTGCTGCTGCTGCTGCTGCTGTGGGGGGCGCGTGAGGGCCAGAGCCTCTACCCCTTCTTGTAGTTTTATAAGAGCGTTGTTTACTGCTGTGTCGAGCTGAAACCAAGCCCCGCTGTTGGATACAGAACGAATAGCAGCAAATGCAGACTCATAGACTTCTCTCCTCAGCTCTTCTGCTCTCCTCAGTCCTGCTGCTGCAGCAGCATAGAAACCACAACCTTCAACTGCTTCTGCTGCTGACTGTGTTGCTCTTGCTGCGTTAGCTGTTAGTCTAGCTAGCTGGTGAGCTACAGCAGCAGCTCTACCCAGCTGGTAGTGGTGCTGCCCCTCTGCTCTGTTTGTTGCTGCTTCCTCTATCTCTTCGAGTCTATTTAATAACAGAGAAACCAGCTCTGCTTGCTTTGCTGCTGTTGCTGCTTCTTCTTGGGCTCGCGCACGGAGAGCCTCAATAGGCAGCTTCAGCTGCTCCTCTGTCTTTCCTTCTTTCTCTGTATCTCCTCCTGCTGCTCCTCCTGCTGCTCCTCCTGCTGCTGCTGCTGCTCCTGCTGCTCCTGCTGCTGCTGCTGCTGCTGGTGCTGGTGGTGGGGTTTGTTCTTGTGTTTCTTTTTCTTCTTTCGTGGCGTCTGCTGCTGCTAGCTCCGCGCTGCGGCAGAAATGACGCATGCGGTGTATGTACGCCAGAGCCCTCACAGGTCTTCTCTCTCCCTCAATAAATTTTAGTATGAGCTCAGCCTGGGCCTTTGCCTGCTGCACACGCTTTGCCGCTTCTCTCCATACAAATATATTTTTTGTGTTTGCTTCGACTTGTGCTTTATACTCTGCGTCTCCAGCTAGCTGCTGCAGCTTATGCAGCAGCTCTAACCCCTCTAAACTATACTCAGCTAGCTGCATAGGCCTAGATATCTCCTCCCACCTAGCCACCTGTTCATACCCAGCCTTCACACGAGAGAACACAGCCTCAGCACTAGCAGCACGCCGCGCCAGAGAGTTTAGTAGTCTTGCTGCTTCTGTGGGGTCCCGGGGGATCGCCTCCGTCAGCCGCTCCCCCCCCTGCAGCATAGAGTTTAACATATGATAGTCCCACTTAGCTGCGCGGGCCATTTGGTCTGTTAGTGCTGCTTCTACTCTGAGAGCTTCTGTCTCCACTGCTGCAGCCATTGCGCTTACACTTGACGCACGAAACGCTGTACTATGAGAGAGAAAACCAGCCTCTCTATGCAGAAAACGCAAACGAGAAAGAAACAAATGCTGCAGCTCACGTGTTAAGGATAATATAGAACCCCAATGATGACCTGCTGCTGTAGATATATCTGAACCCTCTATTCTTACACCTGATCTACCCGATCCACCTGTTCCTGCTTCTGCTTCTGCTGCTTCTGCTGCTTCTGCTGCTTCTGCTGCTGCTGCTGCTGCTGCTGCTGCTACTGCAGCAGCACGTGAACCCCTCCAAGGTATGAAACACGGCTCATGCAACATACCGTCAGCCTCGGCGGCCTGCAGAGCAAGCGCGTGGCCCAGCAGCGACGAAGAGACCTGCGATGCCACCTCATCGTCTCTCAGGCTATCTGAAAGACTCTGTGCTGCAGCAACAAGTTTATCAAAATCCCTGAAGCAGCTGCTGCAGCGCTCTGGCTTGGGGGGAACCACACGCCCACCAGCACGCAGCAGCTTACCCCCTGCATGCAGCCCCGATAAGATACCCGCTGTCACCAGCAGCATCAGCATCGATGCCCCCACCTTCGCCTTCACGCGTCGCCCGTTCCCGCCGCGCCCACCAGCACCTGCAGCAGCCCCATCGAACTGCTGCTGCTCCTGATCCTCCTGCTCGCTGGGGACCCCGGGTAGAGAGTCCCAGGAGGGGATAGAGGCAGCAGAATTATCATAAGAGGCCGCCAGCTCGTATGAAGGGTCTGTGAGCGTCGCAGCAACATTCGTCCACCGAGAATCCTCGGGATCACTCATGTGGCATCGCGCCGTCTGCAGCCCGCAGAAAAGGCACAAGAGGCCCCCCCAGAGGAGGCACGAGGGAGAAGCAAGGAAGCCGGAAACCATTAGCCTTGCTCAACGAGAAAGTCTTCAAAACATTCACCACGAATATATCAAACGCGGTGTATGAAGACGATTCGCTCCTCGAGCCCCCTGACACGCGCGCGGGAAAGGCGTGTCGGGGGCTCCATTCCCCCTCTGGGGACGTAGATGCCTCTCAAACCTTCCTGCAGTAATGTAAAGAAACTGATCCTCTCATATGAGGAAGAAAGAAAGCTCACTAGTTGGCGACAGGCCGTGTTCAGAACTCGAGTCGGGCGGGGAAGATGGCCCGCGGGAGGCGGCTGTGTGGGCTCCTTCGTGGCGCCTTCTTGCAACTAAAAAGACAGAAAACGGAAGACGAAACCTAAAAGAAGAAAAGAAACAAAAACCGAAAAGCAAACAGCCGCGATCTCTTCACTCATGCATCGATGGCCTTGTCGAGGGGGGCTCGTACGCGTCGCTGGGATTCAGATTCAGGTTCCTGGTGATGAGCTGAAACGCGCAGAAACAAAAGATAAAAAAATAGAGAAACTTACATCTAAACCGGGTGTAATCGAATTAAATTGTTAATTCTTTCATGGAAATAGAATTAATTTGGGAAAAAAAAGGTATTTATTGTGCAGATTCCACCCCCACCGTACGTTGCTGCTCAGCTCGAGCCGGCGGTAAGCAGAAGGCAACAGAAAGCAGAACGTGAGCGGCAGTCCGTTGCATAGCTTCTTGAAAAACGATAAAGAATTAAACAAAACAAGCAAAAGTCTGTGGATCGCGGCCTTTTGCATTTATTTTTTTATCATTTTCCCCCGCAACCCGTCTCAATACAACTTGAACTGACGGAAGGTTTCCATGCAACTCGGGGTGTCTGTGCACCTAATTGCTGCTTTCTGTTGATAGACTGCTTTCTAGTGAGCGCCTGAAACCCTTCTCAGATGTTTTCAACTACAGTTTTTCTCCCCCAGCAACAACCATGCTTGTATACCCCCCGTTCCTTCTGCTACAGGGGGGTGAGGCTCTCCCCCCCGATCCATACGGATTGCTTTCTTAGTTGCCTCGGTTCATGAGATGCATAAAAAATATATTTAAACTGCTTTCTGCAGTGCTTGTATGTAGAGGAGTAGTGCAGCAACAGCATGAGACATGTAGCAGTCTTGTATTGTTTAGGAACGCAGTCACACGTACCTACCACTACCGCGTACATCGCCATGTATTATGTTTATGCACGTATATATATATATATATATATATATA